CCGCCGTAGCCTGGGTGGCCTAGACAACCGACACATGTGTCTCACAGTTCTGGAGGCTGGGAAGGCCAAGGTCAGGGTGCCGGCAGGTTCCTTGTTTGGGGAGGGCCCACTACCTGCTTGGAAGGTGGCCATCGTCCTGCCACGTGGTGGAAGGGGTGAGGGAGCTAGTTCTCTGGGGTCCCTTTTCTGAGGGCACTGATTCCATTATGAGGGGTCTGCCCTCATGACCCAAATGCCTCCTGTAACACATCACGTTGGGGAGGAGGTTTCAGTGTGTGAACATCGGGACAGAGACGTCCAGTCTGCCGCAGATCTCTGCAGACTCGGAATCAGTCCTTCACAGTGCCCTTGCTGCATGGCCAGTGGGGAAGCCGCGGGCGGGCGGCATATGGAGGGCAGAGTGAGGAGCAGAGCTGGGGCTTGGGCCTGCCCCGGGAGAGGGAGGGTGGCGTGCCCGCAGGAGAACTTGCCAGAGAGGGAGGAAGGTGCCTTCAGCGGAGGGTATTGTCTGGCTACTGGAACGCACTCGAAGCGGCTTCGTGACGGGGCTGCTGAGGAGGCGCCACGGCATCCAGACTGGTGTCTTGGCCCGGGCCTGAAGTGTCCGTGATGTGGCAGAAGCCAGGCAGCTGGTCTGCACCGGCAGCTCACCTTGGACCCTGTGTCTCCCCTCCCAGGTTAAGCTCTTGGGGAAGAGACTCGGCTCCGCCTGGATTCCACACTCAGTGCCCTCCTGTGGGCTGTGGGAGGCCGTGGGGCGGGCCACGGTGGGCCTGAGTCTGGGGCAGGGGTGGGGGCTGGCCCCAGTGCATGTGGACTGGGGTGCTCGTGGGGGGGCCTGGCACCTGAGCAGGAAGCTCCAACAGTGGGCAGGACTGCGATGCAGGGCATGCACAGGGTTCCGCGGATCGAAGGCATCCAGGCTCGGTTTCAAGTGTCAGCGCGGCTGGGCCCCTCGGGGGAGTCACAGGGTGGACAGCCAGTGGCTGTGGAAGATGTGCTTCTGGACCTGGGAGAGAGATTTCTTTAAAAATGAGATTTGACTTCAGCATTGCGTTGGAAGCATTCGAAACGAAGTGTAAAAAAGCACTAATTTGTACTGTTTCCTAACGAGCATTTCTGCATCTTACTCTGACTGGAATACGCACTGTCTCTGTGTCACCTGATACAGGAAATTCAGTAAAGCTGTTCTAGCACTCATTTATTTTTCATACCCCTGCAAGTTCAAGTTCATAAAATAATCATAGCTCATTTCCGTGGTCTTGTGACAGGTCTTGTGAGGAAGCCCTTGTGGCCAGAGCAGACCTCTGTCCCGAAGATTGTGAGGTCTGCCTCTCAGGTGAAGGATGAACCAGTTCATGAAAGCAATCCAAACTCCTCTCCTCCGTGCAGTAAGCCCTGTTATGCCCTCCGCTTTCCAAACTATTTTTGGTTGCACAGTTCAGACACGTGTAGGATTAAGCCTTACAGGGTTTAAGAGTATTTCCCTAATTTAGAGAACTCGGTGTCAGCTGGCAGACACTAAGGCCAGTTTCTTAGTTAACCAAAATGCGTCTTTCTACTGCTCCTCCACGTTTCGGCAGGGTGAGGGCCTTGTGAGGGCCCCAGACTCTCAGTTCGGATCAGGGAGCCTGCGAAGAGCAGCTTCGTACGGATCTTCAGGATTTAAACCCACGAGCTGGACGTAGTGATCCCCTGTGAAATTCAGGTGCAGGTATCCGTGAGGGCTTCTGAGCAGGCATTTGCGCGCCCTCTGGAGGCCTTGAGAACACTGGAAACAGACCCCCGCGGGGGTTTTGTTTAACGTCCAGAGGCAAGAACCAGTGCACTTGCCGCCAGAACTGCTGTGGGTGTCATCTGGGAGCTGAGGAGAGCCGCGGTGGCACTCATGGGACACGGACCAGTCTCGCCGGGGCGGCAGGAGCTCTGCCTGCCCCCCACTAAGGTGAGGGGTAAAGACACAGGCCCATGGGTTTGGCCAGGAGGAGGCTCAGTGGGGTGGGGGTGGGTTGAGGACTGAATGAGAAGTGAACTGGTAGAGATCTGGGAAGTGGAGAGGCCTGCGCAGGGAAGACGGATGAGTGACAGCTGAGGGGCTGTGGGACTAGCTGTTGCTGAGAGGAGGAAATGGGCAGCCGAGAGATGTGTGGGGTGGGGGAAGAGGGGACAGCTGTAAATAAAGCTCCCAGCTCTGGGTGGCGGTTGAAGGGGGCCAGTGCCTTTTACGTGAACTTGGGTTGGAATGTGGTGAAGGGGTGTTTTTGAGTCCATGGTGGGATGGTGGGGAAGTGTCCCCAAAGGCAGCGGGAAGTACAGGTGGGAGGACAGGCCTGGTTGTGAGGGTGTGTGGCGTGGTCCTTGTGGAAACGGTCCTTGCCCAGGCCCCACAGGTGGCTGTGCCAGCACATGGAGTCAGGACATAGACTGCGTTCAGGAAGTAGGGGTGGAAGAAAGGGCCCCTCGTCAGTCAGGGGCCTAAGGGGCAGCGGGAAAGGTCAGAGAGCAGGGGACCGGGGAGACCTGTGTAGCTGAGGGTCAAAGAGTTGACCAGGGCAGACTGCACCTTTGGGCTCGGTGTTGCAGGAGTGGAGTAAGGTGGCGTCTGGTGTGGGAGAGGGGTGGGCGTGGAGGGGGTAGGAATGGATGCTGGTGTTCGTGGGGAAGGCCTCGGGGAGAGAGAGGAGCGTGGCCTGGCCCTGGCCAGGCAGGTCAGCAGGTGCGCCTGGGGATGGACGGCAAGCTGGTCTGTGCGAGTCGGAGCAGAGTGCGGAGGGGACTGTCTGCTTTCCCCTTTTTTAAATGTCAGCGTCTTGGGTATGAGGTTTAAACTTTGTGTAGTTCTGGTGCTGCTTCCTACTTGGCTCGGATGGAGAATCGGAGCAAAGGGAAGATGGGTTTTGGGCCATCGTGGCCCCCAGGGGCCCTGGCACATGGAGAGGGAGCGGATGTGGCCAGCGTCAGTGCATCACTCTGACAGGGTCCAAGTTAAGTCCTTTCAGTGCACACAGGACAACATGCAATCACCAATACCACTTTTTTTCTTTTTGGTAAAACGAACAGGGTGGCTGATAGTTGTTTGGCTTCATTAACTTAAAATACTCCATTAAGAAAAGAAAACAGACCTTAATGTGAGAAGTACTGGAATGGTGTGTTTACGTCTGGGGTGGGCGTTGAGCTGTGACTGCGGACTGCTCAGTTCTGTGTGGTGAGGTGACACTGTCTAAGGTGCAGACCCACACAAGGGGCCGGCGGGCAGGTTCCGGCTTCAGCTCGACCGTGTCTACCTCTGCGGGACTGGGAGGCTGCTGCACTCTCGTCTGGTGGCCTTCAGCGTGCTGTGTATTAAACATCACAGACGCACTCCCGTCCCACACAAAATGAGCTCACACACCCCTTGGTTCTGCCTGTGGGGAACGCCACCCCAGCAGAGCTGCAGTGACAGGCAGCGCCCCACCGCTCTTACTGGGCGGAGCAGAGATTCCTCTGGGCCATTGTGGGAGAAGCAGGAGGTGGGTGTGAGGACGCTCGTGGACCAGAGCACTGCCAGTGATGGAGGTGGCTCAGAGATGCATCGCAGTCTTTCCCGTGGCCGGAGGCTCTGAGGGCATCTCTCGGTGATGTGGGATTGCTGGGGCCCCTGCGGCCTCCCGCGGGCCCCCCCCCCAAGTTCTGTGCGTGCCCTGGCCTTTCGGCTGCATCCCGCACAGCTCGTCACCTCCCTTTCAGCAAGGGGATCACACTCCGTTGTTGCTGTTGCTGCTGGTGCAGGCTCCCACTGCGGCCATTGATGGGCTCTCGGGGCAGGGCCCGCACTTGGTCCGTGAGCTGCAGAGGGGAGCCGAGTGGCCCGGGGTCCCCGGCAGCCAGGCCTGCCTCGAAGCAGACGTTGCTCCTAGCAGCAAGCTTTGCAATTGGCCCATGCGGTTCCCTGAGGAAGAAACACCCTGGCCAGTATCAAAACCACTTGAAATTCTTCCGGATGTATTCCTGCCTTTAAAGTGTGTGCCATTCGTCACCCTTCTGTTCCCACAGGGAAACTAGATTTCCACTTCTCCACGTTCTTCTGTGTATCGGGTCCCTGGCATCGCAGGGCCGCTCAGTAGGCGGCAGGGTTGTTTCCCATGACAGGTCTTCCTGCTTTGGGCCACGTCGGAAGTGTCACTCGCGCACTTCCTTGCCATCGAGGTCTGGGGAGATGTGTGGACACACTGCAGTTCTGTGCTGTCCCCAGAGTGACAATCTAGGAGAAAAGCTCAGTGTCTCATCTGAGAGCCAGGACGGCAACATTCTGACATCCAGATCCCTTAGTATGTCACCAAACATCCCAAGGAAAAGTTGTGTTTCCCAAACTGAAAGATCTTGAAGCCTGTTCCCAAATTACTCTTAGTAGTTACTAAAAATTATGTGTGGGGAGGTGCGGGGCATAGTAGATGGAACAGCTAAAATGACATTAACAGTAGCTTGTCTTTGTCCAACCCTTAGAATTGTCCAGGCACTATTTTAAGTGCTTCCCGTGTCCTAACTTAGTCCCAAACTGCCGTTCGTGGCCTTTCACAGTCAGGTGCCTTCAGCATCTCCATTTACTCCATACTGCTGGCCCATGGGCTGCTCCTGCGCCCGCCTTGCCACTGAGCTGTCGGCTGTTGGCGAGGACGGCAGGGCCGGTTTAGATGCCCGGCTCCCAGCCGATCCGAGGCAGCCACCCAGGGCCCAGTACCTTCAGGTCTAAAACTCAGCAGGTGGTGTTCCTGTCGGGAGGCTGCTGCAGCCCCTGGGAGTGCGGGTGTGCAGCCTGCCTGGGTTTCCCCTGTAGGGCTTCTTGGGTGTTCTCACCCGCTTTGGCCTACATGCCCGAACCTCGTACATTTACTTAAGTCCCACGTGTGAGTCTGCCCTGTCTGCCGAGCTAGGACCCTGCATCTGTAACAGCTAGTTCCACAAAAAATGGGATCTCGAGTTTTCCACGCTACAAACCTCGCACCTCTCTCTGCATTCCTCAGCCGGCAGGACCCGAAGGCCTCTCTAGCCATCCAGCCGTCGTGGGCCCTGCCTCTGCCACTGGCATGTCTTGGGGGTTTTGACCCCTGGCACCATGGTAAGTCTTCCCCTCGTTTCACCGTTTTTCCTTCGAGAAGCCAGTGCCCCTCAAGTCTGTCTAAACCGAAGCCTAGGCCTTTCAGGGCTCAGCGTTGCCCTTAAACGCTTGCCTCTCTCTAGAGAGAGTTTCCGAGACCCTGGACAGCCTTCCTCAAGGTTGGAGACAGCAGAAACCTCTGTCTTCAGGTTTCCTCTGCGGCTCGGTTTCCGAGTTCCCTGGGAGCCACTGGTCAGTGCAGCCTGTCCACGCGGCCCCGCCGTGCTCTGCTGCCTCAGGGGCCCTGCACCGGGAGCTGGTTCCTGCGCTCGTGCCGTCTGGTTCTTCACCACCATTCCTCTCCCCACGGGTGTAGCAAACCTCTTTCCAGCTGAGTTTGTTCTCCCTAAGTTTTCGTGTCTTTCCCCAAAACCTTAGCAACAGCCTACCCCTGAAGTGCTGAAGTGTGGGTTCTAGAAAGTGTCCCGCCTGGCGTTCTGGGGGGGACACTGTGCAGCCTCCGTGCAGACTCGATGGCGACAGCCTCTGGTTTCCAGGGCAGGGGTTTCTCCTTCGAGCCTTCAAGTCCGGGATCGTTTTTAGTGATTGTTCCCTCTCTAGTGTCGCTGAAAGACGGCTTGTGTCTGTGGGACACGCGTAGGTTCACCCTTGTTTGGTCATTACTGGGATCCAGAGCAGTGGAGGCTCACGTGCAGCCCGATCTTCGTCTGTGGCCCACATACCTGGTGATGTTTCCTGTCATTTCCATGCACACAGCCAGGCCACCGGAGAAGGAAGACCCGTCCCCGGCACTGCCAGCCCGGAGGAAGGGCAGTTGCGGGAGGTGTGGGCCGTCCTCCTGACGGGCGGCGACTGTCCTTTCCCTCTTCTCTGCCTCTCTCTGGCTCTGCTCTGGCCCCAGCCAGCCTTCTTTAGTGTGGGAGAAAAGACGCATAGGTCGGGTAATTGATGAATTCCTGTTTGTGCCAGTGCTTCTGTCTCAAGTTCAAGGTCATCACTAACAGGGAAAGGAGTTCTCCATGGGGTCTAGCCAGGTGGACCAGCTGCTGCAGCAGGAGTCGGGGGTCACAGGTTCAGGAGTAAGCACCGCGCCTGTGCTAGACTTCTGGCCCAGCCCGGAGCCCACTTCCACCGGAGCACCGGCAGTGAGGCCGCTTGCCGAGACTGCCTGCGGCCCGGTGTGCCTTTGCGAGCACACGTTTCCAGAGATCACAGACCGCCCACCAGTGCTAGCCCTGCCGTGTCAGAAGCCCCAACCCCGAGTTCTGCGTAGTTTGGAGTAACCACCCCCTGGCCCCCTTGGTGACAGGGTGGTGATGAGCTTCTGCCTGTGCCAGTCTTGAATTCTTGTCACCAAGTCTTGTCCGCTTTCGGGACTTTCTTTATTTCCTTGTGATTCTTTAGCTCTGAGAAGCGACTTGCCCTTGCACTCGGCTGCCTGGGGAGTGGGCTCCGCAGGTCTCTCTTCCCTGTGCCTGCGAGTCATGAGTTGTGCCCAGGTAGAAGAATCTCCAGGACCCGAGGCATTTAAAGTGGTCAGAGTCCTGCAGACGGAAGGTGGAGTGTTGGCTGCTCCGGGCTGCAGGAGTTGGGGGGCATTGGTTAGTGGGGCGGGGTTTCAGTTTTGTGAGATGAAAACATTCGAGGTCTTTTCCACCATGATCTGAGTCTACTTTCAACACTACTGAACTTTGCCGCTGACAATGGTGAAAATGCTGAATTTTGTCTTATGTTTTTTCTCACAATTTTAAAAGTGCATTTTATAAAATAACCAGAATCTCAGGTGCCTAAGTTTTTGGCCTGTCCACTGCCGCGGCACAGCCTCCCCTGTGTTGCAGAGGTGGCCTAGCCGGCACCCACAGTCGGTCTCTGTCACGGCCTCCCAGGCCCACTTGCCCTGGGGGTGGCTTCCGCTTCCCAGTGTCTGCCGCTTCTTCCTCTAGGCCCAAACATGGACTTTGTCCTCCAGGCCAACGGCTCGGAGCAGCGGCAGGAGGAAGCATGTTAATAAAGGCATCGCCCTTGTCTGAGAGGAGGGGCACTGGAGCTCGTCTCCCCGAGCCTCCCGTGTGGGCGCCTGCATGCTGCCCCACCCAGTGGCTGCTCACCCCAGAGCAGGGGAGCCCCGGCCAGCAGCTGAAGGCTGGTCCCTTGAGGGAGACAGGTCCAGACGCGTCGGGCCGAGGGCCAGGACAGCAGGAGGCAGCCTCTGCCGTGCCAGCAGCGTGTCAGCGTGCTCTGGGCATCCTTACTGTGTCTGCAGGGGTCCTCTGTTTTTGTCAGTCCCCCATCCGTGTTCCTCTTCGCTGAGGACAGAGTGGGTGCTGAAGCCTTTGCCTGTCCCCCCACGCCCCGCATTTCGAGGGTGAGAGTGAGCATGACTGACAGTAGGTCCCCCTGTCAGGTTTCATAGAGGAGTGAGCTGAGGTCAACGGTCGCTCAGCTGGAGAGTGTCAGATCGGGAGCTGGGAGTCAGGACTTTGACTGCCGTGTGGTGTCCGCCCACCACCTTATCCTGATCCCTGACGCACAGCAGGTTGCCTGTGCACTAGTGGGATAAGGTAGCCTTGTGCCCGGATTGGCATGCACTGGGGCCCGTCATGGACGCGAGTCACACTGTGCCCATGACTCGGGTGTCTCTGTGCGCCGTGTCCGAGAGCAGGGACGAGAGCCGTGGAGTCTGGGCCGAGGACGTGTCTGTGAAGTCACATGTGCTTTCAAGCAGCCCTGTGCAAAGAGGGAGGAACCTGCAGGGCACAAGAAGGGTGCACAGGAGCCGGTCCGTTGGGCGTGAGCACAGAGCTTCCCTGTGCCCGGAGGAGGGGCCCTCCTTCCAGGGAGACGGGTCCTTCGGTCCCAGGAGCCTCTGCCTGGGAAACGACGTTGTTGGCAACTGAGTGGGTGTGTCACACACTAATTAAAACAAGGGGACTAAGGAAACTCCTATTTATTTAGCCTCAGCTGTGCTGTGGGCCCTCTGATAGGCAGGTTCACAGCCATTATCTTCTTTAATTACAGCAGCGAAGCGTCGTAGACATGGTTATCTGTGTTTTCCAGATCAGCTCGAGATTAGTCACCATCACACAGCCAGTGGGAGAGCCAGGGTCTACCCTGTGTGTCACCCTGTAGGTCATCTTGTGGGCAGACTTGGCGGAAGGAAAAAGGAGGGCTGCTGGCCCACGGCAGGCTTTACCGCTTTAATAACACCCGCGGTGGCCCCCCTTGGACGTGGGAGGAAACTGGGCCTCTCTCCTTCCAGACTCTCGCCCTTCTCTGGACCCGATTTCATTGTCTCTGTGGCGATTTGTGGTTGGAGAGAAACCAGACATGGCCGCTTTTGTCTTTGCTCTTTTCTCTGTCAGGGCTCACTAGGCCAGGCCACACGAACAGAGGTTCCAGGGACAAAATGAGAGCGGCTCTCGTCCCTGTGGTTCAAGAGAGCCCAGGGCCCTGCCCGGGACCGCCACGTGTGTGCGTGTGTAGAGGAGGGTCGGGGAGGCTGAGGCACAGTCGGGGCGTGTTACTGAGACGCTGCTCAAGCCACAACAAGGCCAGGCCGATGGCTCCCCAGGACAGGTGTGTGGTGTGAACACCTGAAAAGGCGTGGGTAGGGAGGAACCTGGAGTCCGTTCTGCAGCTGGGTGTGCGGAGGGGGGATGTAGACCCAGGCTTAGGGGGCATGCGAGGGCCACGGTGCACGAGACCCGTCCCGGCCTTGGCCAGCACCACCGCCCCAGACTTGAGTGACCTGGAGCGACCAGGGAGCCCTCGCCTAGGTACCACTTCAGAAGCACAGCTCCCACCTGTCCCCGGCACCGGGGCCTCTGGGTGCTGCCTGCCAGGGCCAATGACAGAGGCTGAGGCCGCCTGCTAGTGCTAGGAAAGGCCGGTGGGCCTCCCTCAGAGGCACTCTGAGGGCGGCCACCAGTGTGCGAGGCTGGGCTGTCCAGCAGCATGGGACAGTGCCTCGCTGTGACCCATGATGGTTGAGGGGGGCCATAATGAGGAAACCAGCTCTGTGTCTGGAAGGGGTGGGGCTCTAGAACAAGTGTGGGGACCGTGAGGGGCCTGTTTGGGACAGGAGCCTGCCTCCAGGGGAGTGTCTTCCAGGCCGCCCGCATCTTCAGTCCTAGGGCTGACAGGGTCCCACAGTCCCGAGCAGGATGTCATCAGTCACTGCTCCAGGTTGTGCGGGACTCCCGACTGAGCTGGCAGAAGTGCCGGGGCCACACAGCCTGAGCAGCCGAGTCTTCTGACCCTCGTGTGCACACTCCGTCCCAGAGTCTTCCGATGGGGCCGTGGAGGTGAGCGGGAGGGTGGATGCTGCCTCTGTGCACCAGGTCCCCCCAGCGGGCCGTGGGTGGTGGCCTGGAACAAGACAAGCCCTGGTCCTTGGCAGCATGCAGGCACCAGGGACCTAAACGGCCTTCCTGTGACTGTGCGCCGAGGCCTTAGAACAAGGGCAAGCGGGGGCCTCGCTCGCCTTGGAGCTGGACGGCGGCCCAGTTAGTGTCTGATGGCGTTGGCTCTGGGACTTCCTGATAATGGGGGGGGGGGCAGTTCCTGGCCAAGCCGGGAGCACACTCCGTGTTCTCCCCCATGAGCAGGGGCAGCCCCATGTCCGGGAATGATGCAGTACAACTGTGCAGCGTCCCAGCTGGGAGTCCAGGTCCTGTGAGAGTGCGCGGCGGCGGCCTGTGGGGTTTCTGAGCCCCACATGAGCCCTTGCTCCGGGCAGAGCTTTTCCTCCAGGTGTCCACCCTGTAGTCTGCTCGGGTGCGAAGGTTGACCTTGGAATCGTTTGGGAGAAATTTAGGGACGTTTTCTTACATAATGGTTGATGATAGAAGTAGCTCATTTTATGTAAGTTCATCTGACAGCTTGTTCACATCCTTTCAAGCTGTAAAGGAAAAGTTGGGTTTAACCCTTGTCAGATGGCTCGGTTGGTTGGAACGTCGTCCTGTGCACCAAGAGGTTGCTGGTTCGATTCCTGGTCAGGG